GCAGTGGTGACTCCAGGTCTGCCTGTACGGGGACGGTCATGTGTTATACCTGCTTGGTTGTAACGAGCTGCAAGCCGTGATATCGTGCTCAGACTATCATTCAGACGCCTGGCAACAGAAGATTCCTAATCTCCAGCGTGCATTCTTTCAATGGTGGTGTTCCGTGTCGCAGCGTCAAGACATGGCGTAGTGATTTGATCTTAAAACTCCTTCAAAACGAATGCCGATTTCCGAAAGTAATCTGGATTTTTATAGCCAGACAGTGCTTGCTCTTTGCTGCACAATTTCAACGGAAAGGTGATTTCTGTTGCGTTGTGGCGATGCCTTTTTAATCCTTGTAAGAAATATCATCAAAATCAACATTTTCAGGTCAAGTCGATTTTCTACTTGTACAATTGTGTAAAATCATGTTATCAACACTTCTGTTACATATTTTGACGTTTGTTTGAACATAATAGGTAATTAATAGATTTGAACAAAATTCTTATGCGTTTCTTTTTTTTGGATAGTATATATATATTCATTACATTTGTATTTAAAAAAGAAACTGTCATAGCACCAAACTAAAAAATAAGCAACCCGCCATTCACATTACATAGTTACAATGTATGGTACAAGTCAACTTCCCTCAAGATGTTAGCAAGGCGATGCCCGCTGACGCGGGAAAACGGGTCTTTCAGATTTATCGCTTCATAATGTGAGTCCCTTCCAGTGGAAAAGTCCACACAGTCAAGCAGTATATGCTTCATGGTGAACACTTTATCGCGAGATATACACATAGGAGGTCCATCACCATCCGTTTTGAGCAGATAGTCACGGGTACACCGACTGTGACCAATACATCGCCGTAAACTACCTCATCACGTCCTGACTAACAACCCAAGTAGGTATAACAAATTGCTGGTTTAAATTTATAAAGTTTATTTCTTCCTACTTGGGTGTCCCACCATTTTTTTGCTTAAGGTCCCGAGTATACCTTTAGATAGTGGGCTTGAAATCACTGTACGGGATCAGCAGTGGAGATAAGGGTTTGTCGAGAGCTGTTTTAGGTGCAGCATTGGCCTTTGTGTTACCTACTATGCCGACGTGAGCCGACAACCAGCGGAGATGCTGTCACATTAGAACGATCAATGTAAAGTTCTAAAATGGCTGGGGCCTAGATTTTTCGAAGCTCCTTTAGCACTAAGATATTCGTAAGTGCCAGACATTAACATTAACTTACGACTATCTTAGCGCTAAGAGAGTTTCGAAAATCTAGGCCCCGGATGATAGGGTGACTTGAAGTAACATTTTGGAGTACTTGAAGGCAAGATGATGATTTGGTAAAAACGATGAAGTTTTTGGAATGATTCTGCTGTTTTATGTAGGTGAAAACCGTGAAGATAGCTTTGGCCTCAGCAGTGAAAACTATTTTCGAGAATTCTGGAGGAGAAAGCATTGGATCCAATGACTGTGAATCTATGGGTGTTATACTTGGAGCGTAACTGGTTGTATTCCTGTTGGAACACCATATTTAGAAAAAAAACCAAGCAATTTGTTTTACATATTACATGGTTACAATTTATGATAGAGCTTTTATATGATGTAATGGCTTTTGAGAAGTCAGTTCATGTTTAACAGGGCCGGTGGAATGGCCTAATTATTTAAGCGTCCGCTCGTCACGAAGACGCGGGTTTCATTCCCCACATGCGAAGTCCATTTCTGGTGTCTTGGCGTGATATAGCTGGACGCGGCGTGAATATAGTCACTTACTGACTCACTTGTTAAAAAAAATATAGAAACCGTTATGAAAGAGGTCGGTTGGTTTTGTGTAACCCATAGATATCTTGTATAGCGCTATCTCGTATATAGACCGCATGTAGCCTTGATAGTAATAAAGATATGTGCTGGTCTGAGGCGTGAAGTAATAGCACTCTGTGACGTAACAGGTAAATACGCTCCCCGAAATTTAAGGAATTATGGAAATAGAAGTTATTTATGTTTTTAAGCTAAATTGTTCATACCAATTAGCATGTTTTCCTTCCGATTGAACGTTTGTCAAAATGTAGACTAAGTGAATATTTAAATACGCTCCCCGAAATTTAAGGAAATATGGAAATAGAAGTCATTCATGTTTTTAAACAAAATTGTTCATACCAATAAGCATGCTTTCCTTCAGATTGAACGTTTGTCAAAATGTAGACAAGTGAATATCTCACAAGTCAAACGAACGGCATGGTAAATCTAGTCAGTTTGGTTTGGGTTGTTTAGTTTGTTGTTTAACGCCGCACTCAGCAATATTTCATTTTGAGTCTTGACCAAACAATCCAGTGATCAACAGCATAAGCATCGAACTTTGTAGTTGGGATACGATGATATATGTCAAACAAATCAGCGAGCCTGATCACCCGATCCCGTTAGTCGCCTCTTACGATATTTGGTTGCTGAATAATCAAAACCCGGATCTTCACGGATGGTATGTAACAGAGTCTAACAGTGAACACCCAGGTTGACTTTATCACAGATGTATCACTTTGGCACAACAACTCGGATCGTCGGATCTGAGCCAGGCCAGAACATGTGTGCGCGAATGTGAAAACAATCCATGCAACTAACGCCCTGTCGGACTCGATCTGTTGATCACTGGATTCAGACTCGATTATTTACAGACCGACGCTATGTAAGCTGGAATTTTGCTGAGTGCGGCGTTAAACAACATACAAACAAACAAAACAGTAATTTACATACCGTGCTTGTCCATACAACGGTGGCTGGAGGGAAGCTCGTAGCGTTACACCACAGCCGGATTGTCTGCCCTGTGTTTACCGTGACAACGCCGTTACCGGAAATACTACTGATGTGGGGTCGAGCTGCAATTGTAGGGGTCTGGTATACACAGTGTGCGAAATAGTTTCCAAATTTTGCCAGCCAATCGGGCCAGCTATGCCTGAAAGTTACTAGCCCACAAAATAACTCACTAGCCCGAAATTTGAATGTAAACACGTCATTTAGCTGCTTACATTTTTATCAGGCCATTATCTCGCATGATTTAAATATGTGTTGTAATCTAATAATTCGGAGAGAGTGATATGTTTACAAAATGACCCAATGAAAATTCACTAGCCAGGGACTGTATAGATTTATTGGCCCATCTGGATTTTTACAAGCCAAGTGTCAGCGGGCCAGTGGCTCTTTCGCACACTGGGTGTGTAAGTACATTATATAGCCCTGTAACATGACGACACCAGGCCCGTGTAGATCCAGCTTACAACTGATCTTCACCAACCCATGCTTGTCGTGAAAAACGACCAACGGGATCGGTGGTCAGCCTCGTTGACTTGGTTAACACATGTATTCATATCCCAGTTGCGTAGGTTGTTGCTCAGGATGTGAATCACAGGATTGTCTGACTGGATTATTTATAGACGGCAGTCATTAAAGGTCACATGCAACCAAAAAAATCAAACATAATTAAAACACAATTATCACTTATTCATGACATATGATATCCATTGCTGATTATGAAAAAACAAAATTATAAGCGTACAATCGCAAATCAAAAGTGCAATATTTTGTACTTGGGTTTACTTCCCAAGAAACGAAGCAGCCGGGATACCGAACCCAGTCAGAGCGGGTGGGTGTGCACGCAAATGTAACGGCTGGTTCATTTGCCGATGCCCTCACGGCTCATTGTGTGTGTGTATATAGAGATGTTGGGTTTTGTAAATACATGCTCATTTTTTGTGTATAACATTTTGCAATCGACAGACATCATAACATGTCATGTGTTCAAGTATCACACCTGCCTGTCTGTTTAATTACATAATGTGACAGAGACAGAACTCGGGCCATAAATCACTGCGTTTTGTTTATGGTGTATAGCCTGATAGGTGTTAAGTTCAAATTGCATGTGGTCAGTGATCGATGTTGTGTATTGCATATTGGCATTAGCAGACAGGCAGGCAGAAACATAGGTGTCAATTAAACAGACATTGTGTTTTGTCTGTGACAACGACATATCTATATCACAGTTAGAAATTCTGTCAACGCTAAATAATGACATTGCTTTTACGTATCGAACTGAGAAAGTGACTCGGTAAGAAGAACGCGTGGCGAAATAGACAAATGAAATTATATAAACAGTTAAATCGGTAATCTACTGTCATAACGTATAAAAAAGCTCGCGCTTGTGAAATATCAACAAAACATTAGAAAAATAGCTCACACCAAAGCTTTCAGAGTATTCACCGCCAGCGAACCTATTTCACTGGGCATGTGCTATGAGCGCAGCCCAGCTGTTGAAACCACTTTTTCCCCCAAGCGTTGGGGGAAAATTAGTGAATCGTTTGAACTCCGTTTTCGCGCGGGTTTTTTCATCGCGTTATTTTTCAACTTTATAAGTTGAATTTTCATTTTTTGATGATTTGTTTCGATAAGTCCATACCGAAAGGTATCAGAATCTGCAAAGTTGTGTTTTACGTTGCATGTGGCCTTTAACAGTAACGTTAAACAACCAACACCGAACACAACATTTACTCAAAACAAACCTGTTGCCACCATATTTATTTTCTTCTGCATACCTGACTGAATGTTTTAAATCTGTTTTATTAATGTTTTTCACAATTTCTTTCAATCTTATTGTCGTAAATAATCTGATCATAGTAATGATTATTTACAGGCGTCATGGAAATGCATACTAATAATGAGGATATTTAATAATAATGAGAATACTTACAACGCGCCTTTTCCAGGCTTGATATCCTTCTCAAAGGGCACAATCTGATCATTATTACCCCCGATAACCCAAGCTGCCTGTTAGACGCCAGAAGGTTGATAGTCTTATAGACTTATTTCACCGGGTACCCATTTTGCGCTGGGTGAACAGGGACGATTTTGAACAAACTCACTTGCCTAAGGTGAGACCACATGTATCATATGTGCTTCGTTGTGGGACAGGACCGAAATCTTAGAAACTCTCGGTAGTCAAGCTGTCACACACGTCACACGGTCACCCATCCAAGGACTCACCCATCCGAGGACTTCGCCTGATTTGTGACCTGAGCTCTATGCTCAGGACCACACACGTGATTCGGAATGTTGCTGTGTGCAGTGTTGACAAATAAACGTAGAAACAGTGAGTGAGTGAGTGAGTTTGGTTTTACGCCGCTTTTAGCAATATTCCAGCAATATCACGGCGGGGGACACCAGAAATGAGCTTCACACATTGTACCCATGAGGGGAATCGCACCCGGGTCTTCGGCGTGACGAGCGAACGCTTTAACCATCAGGCTACCCCACCGCCCCAAACGAACAAACAGACAGACAGAGAGACGGACAGACAGAACTTTGAGTCTTACATTCCACACTGAGGAAGCTGTTGAAATCCACTGTTTCGAGTCCATTGTCAGCCTCGCAGATGTAGCGTCCACTGTCCTGGTACCGGGAGATGGGCAGATACAGCTGGGACCCGCCCGTCGTGGGGCTGATACCCACCGTGACCTTCTGACTTGTCCCGTCCACATCGACGTGATACCAACTGATTGACAGAGGCCTCTCACTGTCGAACGTGCACTCCAGCATCACGGGCTCACCTTCATGGACTGTGTGGTTCACGTAGCCACTGGTCACCTTTATGTGTCCTGAAAATTACAAGAAATTTCATATGCTCATATGAAAATGGATTTCAAGTGATATATGGAGATTATTACACGAGCAAGTGTGTCATACGACTATACGAAACGAGTGTGAAATTTAGTATTGCCGAGAGTTCGGGCAATACATAATTTTGCACGAGTTTCGTAGAAGTCGTATGACACACTTGCTCGAGTGTAATAATTTTGTAAGTATCCATTTTATCCATGTACTTTTCTGCAGTAAAACAAGGTTAGCAAGTGTGACGGCTAGGTCACGTTCAATTGTTTAATGACGTCACAGACGACGAAACACAGAAACAATGGTTGCTAGGCAGGTGTGATATGTGCACATGTGCATATATGATATATGTGGCACTGGTTATGTTTCACTATATGGGTAATAAATGATCCCAATAGTTCACTGGTGAGTCTACGTAATTCATGCTCGATGACTTGCGATTAAGAAGATCGGGGCAGGCAAGAGAAAAAACACATGCTGAATGTGTTCAGCATCTTGAAAGACGAACATATCGTCTCAAGTATGAAATTTATTTAAATGTTTTAAAATCCTGCCGCCAAGTACATGAACTAGTACGTCACATTTTATTTAAAACTAGTTGGGGAGCATATAAAATAGTAAACTGTTAAGTGACAACACAATATGCAAATGGGCAATAGATCGCCAACAACTGAAGGTAGGTCACCATATTAGTGACCATGGGGGCTTACAGTGCCTGTGCCACCTACATGGACCCTAGCTGGATTTACACCATCCCTTCAGCCGCTGGCGATTGTAGGAAATATTCAGCCAAAATTTAAAAGAACGAACATACTACGTTTTAACAATCTGGTAAGTTTATATTTAACTTTGAAAGTATTGGGACTTCCGTGCCCTCTCAGGATTTTCCTCAGAAGCCCGATCTACTCACTCAAAACCTGAAGCAGGATCACCTTCTGTTCTGTCCCGAACACATTAGAGGACGTGCAGGTATAGGCACCTTGGTCGCCCACGGTCACGTTGCTGATGGTGAGATCATAGTCCTTCAAAGAAAACCGGGAAGGGTCGAGTGTGGAAAGGTCAGGGGTCCATGTCACGTGAGGTGGAGGGTAGCCAATGGGATCACAGCCCAGTACAACCGGAGATCCTTCGGTGACGGTGATGGAGCCACTCTGTGCATGGAATGACGGCTCGGCTGGAACACAAGAGTGGACCTTGTACGTTGGACAGATTGTTGTGATGTACGCTGGAGGGAACGCGTGTACGCTCAAGTGAGTGGGTGAGCGAGTTTGGTTTTACGAAACGTTTAGGGGGGGGGTTCCTAAAATGGACGAGCGAACGCTTCAACCACTAGGCTTCCCCATCGCCCTTCTGTATGAAAGATAGATAGATGGAGAGAGTGGGGGTAGACAGAGAGTAAGGGAGAGACAGCGAGAGAGAGTGGGGGGTAACCGTAAAACCCTAAATTATCATCATCATCATAGACAGAGAGTGAGGGCGAGAGAGAGAGAGAGAGAGAGAGAGAGAGAGAGAGAGAGAGAGAGAGAGAGAGAGAAGGAGAAGAGGAGAGAGGGAGAAGCAGCGAGATAGAGAGGGGAAGAGAGAGAGAGGGGAGAAAGGGGATGGGGATAGGGGGAATAGGAAGAGTAGGATTGGACAGAGGGAGGGAGATTTTAATGCATATTGGAATGACACTGTCGTGATACGCACCATCAACCTTCCGTGGTTCTAAAGTTATGACTCACTTTTCGAATGAAATACTTTGGTGGGTACTAACTGAGTTGTTGGTTTTATGTTGCAACCTTTTCAACGGAGTAAGGGGTCATTCCAGATAAACCATCCTCCATGTTGAAACATTGGTGTTACGCATGTCCTATCGTTCCCTGGCGTGTTGCTGGGTTCACGACAGTACACTAGTGTGACTGTGTGCTGGTGGGTGTTCAAGAGTGTGGGCGGGTGTGCGGTTAAGTTATTGTGTGAGCGAGTGCCGGTCTGTCCGTGTGAGAGAAAAATATGTTAATATCACTTTTATTTGTAAATCACTTAGCTGTAAAAAGGAACGCTATCCACAAAACGTTCGTTAGCGCTACGACATTCGTAAGCCAATGATAAACTATAGCATTTCGATAGGTCGTAACGTTACGAGCGTTTTGTGGATCGGGACCGAGACTCTTTTCATAGTAACACAAGCAACACAAATAGCGTTGTAGTAAACTTACTCAGATTCATGCAACATGCTGCTGATGGCGGTGAACTAAGCCCCATTGGACCTTGAACACCTTGAAGCCCTATGTCACCCGTGTCGCCCTTAGCCCCAGCTGGACCAACATCTCCCTTCGGACCAGCAACACCAAGATCCCCTTTAGGTCCAGCTTCACCTTTAGGACCCTGTGGGCCTGCTGGACCATATGGTCCGGGCTCCCCCTTCAAACCAGTAAGTCCAGTCAAGCCGATGTTTCCCTTACTACCGACCTCGCCCTTGGGTCCGGATATACCGTCAGTGCCTGCTTCACCTGTTCGAAATAAAACGATACCCTGGTTATCCGGATACCATTGTTCCACAGGAAATCGTTACGTGTAGTACATTTCCGGATAACTGAACGAGTTTCAAGAGCTATTGTTTATGAAGATGTGTTTTTGTTAATTTTAATGTCACATTAACTAGCTTTTGGTTGTTATGGGCCACAAACATTAAAAGCGCTGAATTTGGATTTGAGGTTGGAAAAAAGGTTTACGGGACGACTTTTGGATTTACGCTCACCCCTCTGCCAACATTGACGTTTCAAGAACGACAACTCAAGAGGCCTCGTCTACCTCAAGTGGCCTCGTCTACATTGAACTTTCAACAGCTGACACCAAACTTCAATCAGTACAAATACAGGAATCAAGACTCTGGTAACTATCGATATTTTAGATTTGGGACCCAATTGTATTGTATTAGGAACATGTTCTGTCATTCATTTTTATTCAATATAATAATTGAACATTATAGAATTGTTTATGTTTTATTTTGCTGGTTTTAAGGGGACTCGCGAGCCTTATATCTCAGTAATTTCTAAACCGTAACACTATGGCAGGAGTTATCTGGGAAGGAGGATTCGGGTTCGGGTACCCCAGCCGAAATGCCAGAGAGGTCAGCAAACCCTATTCCATGCCGGATACATCAAAATCACCACTGAGCAATAGAGATCATGCAGGTTTATGCAGTTAGGATTAACTGCAAGATCTCCTTAGAAATGTTTACACGAGATTCCGGATTATGGTGGCCTGGTATACCAGAGGTTTCGAATTATGGTGGTCCGGTATACCAAGGGTGTCGACTATGGTGGTCCGGTATACCAAGGGTCTCGGATTATGATGGTCCGGTATATCAAGGGTTTCGAATTATGGTGGTCCGGTATATCAAGGTTTCGGATTATGGTGGTCCGGTATATCAAGGGTGCCATGTTATAGCGACCATATGTGTCAAGGGTTCCGGATTGTGGTGGTCCGTTATATCAAGGAATACGGATTGTGGTTGTCCGGTAGATCAATGGTTCCGGATTATGATGTCCGGTATATCAAGGGTTCTGGAATACAGGACCAGGGATTTTCTGGATTACGGACATCCAGATTAACTGGATATATCGTTTAAGGGTCTGCGTGATTGTACCGTGTTCAGATGAAACTTCCCATGAAACTCTCTCTGCAACCTACCTTTAGGACCCGGGGAACCTGGGTATCCCGGATCTCCTTTAGGGCCAGGGGGTGATTGTATCCCCGGCTCTCCCTTTACACCGGTATCTCCTTTCTCGCCCACAAGTCCTCTGCCGCCCTTCACCCCGGCATCGCCTTGTTCCCCCTTGGGACCTACACAACACACAGAATGGGAAATACATCTATTGTCATGAAAGTTACTAATGTTATAACGAACCCAAAGAGACTACAACTTTAGAAAATACAAAACAATCAGGTGGTTATATACACGTGCTCGTCTTGGATTTTAACCTGTTTGTGTTAACACAGTTAACTGTATTATGCTTTACTGTACCACACTGGGGCGGTGGGGTGGCTTCGTGGTTAGAACATGTGTCAACCAAGTCAGCAAACCTGACCACCCGATCTCGCTAGTCGCCTCTTACGACAAGCATGGGTTGCTAAAGATCAATATTCTAACCCGGATCTTCACGGGTCCAAATGACATTAGATCTCAACGTTGCTGAAGATTACACACCACCACTTACAACCTACCTGGTAGACATATCTTGCTGTCGTTAGAGCAGTACTTCTCGAACTTGAGCAACTGAAACAACGCGTTTTCATATACAAGCTCCATATACAATGGATGGGAAACAATGGGTTTCAAGTGACGTTATTACATGTATATAGCGACTAGCATCAGTGTGAGTGTTGTTCCTGGAGGTACCCCGAACACCTGTGTTGTAATGCTAGCATACGAACGCCTGATGAGGCCAAGTTAGCAGCTTGAAATATTCTTTTAATCGAAATGTCTCGTTATTTCAATTTGTATGGTTTTGTCAAATTTCGATTTTTCTTCTTTTGACTACTATTATTTTCTCGTTTTTTCCAGTTTCGATAAACAACTCGACATTTAGAGTATTTCTTCGTTACTCCGATTATTTCTTGTAATATTTATTTTGAAAATATACTTGAATAACGAGGAAGCTATGTTGTGAGAAAATAACCGAAGTAATTATCATTAATGCAACAAGAAATCCTCGAAATTGCAAGTTTTCAAAGGAAAAACACAATATTGTAAAGAAACTATATGGTTAAAATAATGCGACAACGTGACAATGTCCCTTCCAGGATTCCATAGGAAATTGAGAGAGACACGGGATTCAAGCCCTGAATACTGACCTCTGCTTCTGTCAGATCTCTGAAAAGGTCACCGAGGTCTGACCCCACTGTTTGACGAGTGTATCGGGAGTTTTCTTGTTCGCCCATGAGACTCACAAGATCTTGCAGAACAGCAATCACTTCTTGCTTCACAATATTACTTAACATCTGAAAGCAATGATTGGCAATATGGTAAATTTATTTTATAAATAAAAATTCGCGAACAATTAAAAGTTAAAACCAGCAAATATATAGTGTTGTGTTTTCTATAATATGGACAGGGGTGTATATCTGATATTGTTAAACATGTAGACAGCGAGGGGTGTATATCTGATACTGATGAACATTGGGACAGTGAGGGGTGTATATATCTGATATTGTTGGACATGTGGAATGTGAGGGGTGTATATCTAATATTGTTGAACATGTCGACAGCGAGGGGTGTATATCTGATATTATGGACCTGTGGAGAGTGAAGGGTGTATATCTAATATTGTTGAACATGTTTACAGCGAGGGGTGTATATCTGATATTATGGACCTGTGGAGAGTGAGGGGTGTATATCTAATATTGTTGAACATGTGGACAGTGAGGGGTTTATATCTGATATTATGGACCTGTGGAGAGTGAGGGGTGTATATCTAATATTGTTGAACATGTGGACAGTGAGGGGTTTATATCTGATATTATGGACCTGTGGAGAGTGAGGGGTGTATATATCTAATATTGTTGAACATGTGGACAGTGAGGGGTGTACATCTGATATTGTTGAACGTGTGGACAGTGAGGGGTGTATGTCTAAAAATGCTGAATATGTGGACAGTGAGGGGGTCTATTTCTAATATTGTTGAACATGTGGAGAGTGAGGGGTGTATATATCTGATATTGTTGAACATGTGGACAGTGAGGGGTGTATATCTGATATTGTTGAACATGTGGACAGAGAGGTGTGTATATCTGATATTGTTGAATATGTGGATAGTGAGGGGTATATATCTAATAATGTTGAACATGTGGACAGTGAGGGGTGTATATCTAATATTGTTGAACATGTGGACAGTGGGGGGTATATATCTAATAATGTTGAACATGTGGACAGGGAGGGGTATATATCTAATAATGTTGAACATGTGGAGGGGTGTATATCTGATATTGTTGAACATGTGGACAGTGGGGGGTATATATCTAATAATGTTGAACATGTGGACAGCGAGGGGTATATATCTAATAATGTTGAACATGTGGAGGGGTGTATATCTGATATTGTTGAACATGTGGACAGTGAGGGGTGTATATCTAATATTGTTGAACATGTGGACAGTGAGGGGTGTATATCTGATATTGTTGAACATGAGGACAGTGAAGGGTATATATCTAATAATGTTGAACATGTGGACAGTGAGAGGTGTACATCTGATATTGTTGAACATGTGGACAGTGAGGGGTATATATCTAATAATGTTGAACATGTGGACAGTGAGGTAACCTATAAACTACAGAAGGATACATATCGCCATGAGATAACGTGAGGGGTGTATATATCTGATATCTGATATTGTTGAACATGCGGAGAGTAAGGGGTGTATATCTCATATTGTTGAACATGTGGACAGTGAGTGATATATATCTAATAATGTTGAACATGTGGACAGTGAGGGGTGTATATCTAATATTGTTGAACATGTGGACAGTGAGGGGTATATATCTAATAATGTTGAACATGTGGACAGAGAGGGGTATATATGTAATAATGTTGAACATGTGGGCAGTGAGGGGTGTATATCTGATATTGTTGAACATGTGGACAGTGAGGTAACCTATAAACTACAGAAGGATACATATCGCCATGAGATAACGTGAGGGGTGTATATATCTGATATCTGATATTGTTGAACATGTGGAGAGTGAGGGGTGTATATCTCATATTGTTGAACATGTGGACAGTGAGGGGTGTATATCTGATATTGTTGAACATGTGGACAGAGAGGTGTGTATATCTGATATTGTTGAATATGTGGATAGTGAGGGGTATATATCTAATAATGTTGAACATGTGGACAGTGAGGGGTTATATCTAATAATGTTGAACATGTGGACAGTGAGGGGTGTATATCTAATATTGTTGAACATGTGGACAGTGAGGGGTGTATATCTGATATTGTTGAACATGTTTACAGTGAGGGGTGTACATCTGATATTGTTGAACATTTGGACAGTGAGGGGTGTATATCTGATATTGTTGAACATGTGGACAGTGAGAGGTGTACATCTGATATTGTTGAACATGTGGACAGAGAGGTGTGTATATCTAATACTGATGAACATTTGGACAGTGAGGGGTGTATATCTAATACTGATGAACATTTGGACAGTGAGGGGTGTATATCTAATAATGTTGAATATGTGGACAGTGAGGGGTGTATATCTAATATTGTTGAACATGTGGACAGAGAGGTGTGTATAACTAATTATGTTGATCATGTGGACAGTGAGGGGTGTATATATCTAATATTGCTGAACACGTGGACAGTGAGGGGTATATATCTAATAATGTTGAACATGTGGACAGTGAGGGGTGTATATCTAATATTGTCGAAGATGTGGACAGTGAGGGGTCTATATCTGTTAGTTTTAACATATGAATCAAAACGCAAGAATGCTTCCCAACTTAAGGAATAGCGTGTACACGAGTAAGCTTAGGATTCAAATTCATTCTCTGCTCCCTATGGGGTATGCGCAGATATCAACAGTCAAATTACCATCCTGTAATTAATGGCTGAACTGAAACATAATTACACCTGCCACGATTACCTCGTCTCCAGGGTGAGTTGACGTGGCATGGTGTTGGGCCTCCCTGCGGCCTATTCTGTCATTTCCACGCCGTCGAACTCGAGGGGCTCCAACTTCAAGTAACACATCCTCACCAATCTTGAAACCCAGTGAATGGCACTTATCATGCAATGTTTACTGAACGGTTTTGTTTTGTTTTGCGTTGTATAAAGCCGCAGTCAGCAATAGTCCACCCACAGGGGTTCGAATCACTGTTTGGACAATAATTTTAAAAATAAAAATCTAGTCTTTTGCCATCGTATATTGTTTTTATGTATATATGTTATGATGACATATATTTCAAATTTGGGCGAAATATGTATTTTATGAAACGTTTGTAGGGTAGACGTTTCTAAAATATTTATTTCTTCACCGATTTCGTTCAAATTTGAAATATATGTTAATAATAACATATGCAAAACAATATGCGATTGTTAAAGTCTAGATGTTTGCTTTTACAAATTATTGTCCAAACAGTGATTCGAACCTCTGTGATTCCACCTCTATGGCGGAGGGCCGTGAATAATCGAGTCTGGACCAGACAATTCAGTGCACAACAGTATGAACACCGAACTGCGCAACTGGGATACGATGATATGTGTCAACCAAGCGAGCGAGCCTGATCACCCGATCCCGTTAGTTGGCTCTTACGACAAGCATGGGCTACTGAAGATGATTTCTAACACGGGTCTCACGAGTAAGGTTCAAATTCAAAGACAGGGTAGGTTTATTACACGAAATAACCGAATTTCTAAACAACCAGAACTAAATCACCCGAGTAAGGTGAGATGTATTTTAAAACCAGTTATTTGGAACAAAAATACAACTATAACAGTTTTTTTATTTTGTATGAAGGCGACATCATACGTAACACACTACGCAAAGTGATCATTACAAGACCTTCCCACGGAGTGTAGGAACATCCGTATGTTTCATATGGGTGATTTTCTCAAATCTAAATCCGGACGTTAGTGGACGGATGGAAAAAGTAGAAATTGATAAAAATATACACTAATTATTCTAAGCAATATTAATATTAGTCACCTTGATAGTAGCATTCAAAATAAGTTTTCATTTGCTTTGTAAACAATCTTTTGATAAATATTCATGCTAATATGAAACTGACTTTGGTAATTATTTTAGTGTCATAGTGAAAGATGTATTTCATCACAATCAGTGTATATTCCCACAGCAGAAAAGAAAAGAGCAGATAAGAAAACTTTTAGTGTCTCAGGTTGGAATGCAAATTCAGGACGCACGGGAGCTCGGAACCTAACACACACAGCCAAATGGAACATACTCATTCAAAGAAGGTTACTTCAGTAGGTCGTGGCCGGCGAGAGATAACACGGTGGGAAGTGTGGAGAATAGATTATCTATTCACACAGTCCTCCGTGAAATAGTAAGGCCATGTCTCTCAAAAGTATTCATAAATCATACATTTAGTTCAAATTTTCAAATATACGTTAATGGTATTAAAACATGAAAATTATAATCCTGGCCCAGTTTATACTGTGTTGCGACGACGTTGAAACAAACAGTGAAAGTTGATTACGGTATAACTTGTACCCCTTACCGTCTCAATCGGCAGCTGACTTTCCAAATGATGTATCTTCCATGCTTGAAAGATCGTTACCGAGACAAACGCAGCTAGATGTAAACCCACGATAATGTACAAACACGTTGTCGCCGAATGCGACGATGTCTTCTTCATGTTGGACGCCATTGGCACTCGCCGCGTCTCATACTTTCTTATCTTATCAAAGCATTTACTAACGTTTCCAAAACTTGACATAAACACCCTTTACGCCACATTCGGATCTAGACGTGGGTTCGCATCTCACGTTCGCTCCAAGTGTGATCCCCAGTGTATTAACGCCATAACTATACTTGGAGTAACCGTATAACCCTAATTATACGTGCGGCTCAGTCCAAACATAAAAAGTACCGATTCGAAAGCACAAAGTGAAATGTTACAATGTATAAACGTATGTTTAAATACAGTCTAATTGGCGTAAATGTTTTGGTTGTTCAGATTTCTTGTTCTGTCCTATTGTATCCAAACTGCGAGGACCGATGCTCATGGTGTTGATCACTGGATTGTGTGGTCCAGACTCGATTATCTACAGAAATTTCGACGTGTGCTATTTACATAGCGCTGTTACGTATTACATTAACCTAGAAAGGTAATTCCAACTTTGATCTCTGTATGCGCTCGGTACCCCGGAGTCTGTCAGCAAAGTCACAGCTGGTAAACGTTTGACAACGGACGCTCTGTATTGGCTGTTCAATTGAAAGTTTGCATCGGAAAGTTATGCCTGATGTGGCACTATCACTCAAGACCAGCGGACGAAGAACATTAAATGTAAGTAGAAACGAATATGTTAAGTGCTTAAAGGTCACATGCAACGTAAAACACAACTTTGCAGATTCTGATACCTTTCGGTATGGACTTACCGAAACAAATCGTCAAAAATGCAAATTCAACTTATAAAGTTGAAAAATAACGCGATGAAAAAAAACCGCGCGAAATCGGAGTTCAAACGTTTCACTAATTTTCCCCCGACTTTTCTGGGGAAAACGGGTTTCAACAGCTGGGCTGCGCTTATAGCACGTGCGCAGTGAAGTAGGTTCGCGCAGCTTGGAAGCGGTTGTCCGGTGAATACTCGGTGAAGGCTTTGGTGTGAGCTATTTTTCTAATGTTTTGTTGATATCTCACAGGCGCGAGCTTTTTATATGTTATGACAGTAAATTAACTGGTTATATAATTTCATTTGTCTATTTCACCACACGTTCTTCTTACCGAGTCACTTTCTCAGTTCGATACTTAAAAGCAATGCCATTATTTAGCGTTGACAGAATTTCCAACTGTGATATAGATATGTCGTTGTCACAGACTAAACTCAATGTCTTGTTTTATTGACACCTGTGTGTCTGTCTGCCTGTCTGCTAATGACAATATTCAATACACAGCTGCTATCACTGACCACATGCAATTTGAACTTAACGCCAATCAGGCTATACACCATAAACAAAATGCATTGATTTATGGCCCGAGTTCGGTCTCTGTCACATTATGTAATTACACAGACAGGCAGGCGTGATACTTGAACACATGACATGTTATGTTGATTGCAAAATGTTATACACAAAAAATGAGCATGTATTTACAAAACCCAACATCTCTATATATACACACACAATGACCCGTGAGGGCATCTGCAAATGAACCAGCCGTTACATTTGAGTGCACACCCACCCGCTCTGACTGGGTTCGGTATCCCGGCTGCTTCGTTTCTTGGGAAGTAAACCGAAGTACAAAATATTGCACTTTTGATTTGCGATTGTACGCTTATAATTTTGTTTATATGTTTTTTCATAACCAGCTATGTATATTATATGTCATGAATAAGTGATAATTGTGTTTTGAATTGTTTGATTTTTGGTTGCATGTGACCTTTAATAAATGAAAAATTCAAATATATTCATATTCACATGAAGAGTCCTCTGGGTGTATTCCCCACATGGGTACAATATGTGAAGTCCATTTCTGGTGTCTCTCGCCATGATATTGCTGGAATATTGCTAAAAGCGGCGTAAAACTAACTCATTCAGTCAGTCTGGTTGTACTCCGCTTGGTCCTGTCCTTGGTTGTGTTGTTCGTTGACTTTTAAACTACTCGAAGTACATTAGCTTCGTGAGAGATCCGAGAAAGGTTTGTCGGACGATGTTTCTATATTTCGAACAAAGTTTTCAAAGCGCTGGAGAAGTTGCCTGGAATGATTTGAAAGTGCATTGTGACGAGTGGTCTCAAAAGTGAAATTTCGGTGCTGTCTGTCGTACAGAAGCTTATATCGTTTAGTCAGCCTTAACCCAACAAGAATGTAGTCATGTTGAAATTAAGTGGATTGTTAACCTTCGCCTTCAACTAAGGTTGGGTTGGACCTAAAGTAAGACTACCTGCTGTAATGTTTCGTGCGACATCAATCCTAGCAAAGGCCTAAAGTTTATACCTAAGGAGAAAAGATGATCGTAGTGCTTATTTTGTTTTGTACCATGACAACCAGGTGATGAACTGTTAAAGGTTCAGCAGATCCTAACACCTTTATCAAGCAAATGATATACAGCATTATGCACAAGGAGAATACATGCTTGAAGGATGTTCGGGTTTATACAATTTACAAGTTTGATGTACAGTGTTACTGACGCTTGTTGTAATAACAAATAATGAGGTATAAAGGTATTAATCCATACTTATATACGTAAATACAAATCCTTATATCTATAGATCTATAGCTAAATGGAATATATTCACAATTGTGAGATGAGAGATTGTTCACTGTTTTGTAGCGATTGGAGATAATTTATGTATGCCTCAACTGTCATAGCAATGGAAGGTTCTCGAGAGGCATATTAAAGTTGGTATTCCAAGCATACGACAAAATAGTATGGATGTCAACTTCTTCTTTATTCTATACACAATGTTTCTGGAGTTTTCCTTGCCCCTTCGTTAGGTGAACGCATCCCCGTTTGAAAGTTAACCAATGGGTTCCATATTGTTTGCAATAGATTTTCCAGTTCTATAGATATCACGTAACAACTTGATAACGTGAGTGAGTTTAGTTTTACGCCGCCTTTAGCAATATTCCAGCAATATCACGACGGGGGACACCATCAATTAGCTTCACACATTTTACCCATTTGGGGAATCGAACCCGGGTCTTCGGCGTGACGAGCGAACGCTTTACCACTAGGCTAGCCCACATCCCCCATCTTGATACAAAGATAATAAGACAGATGATATATAGATGAATATTTTTGCTAGCAAGATATGGTTGACTAACCATATGATCATATGTACTTAATTCAAACCTAAGAATATATCTTGTCAATCCAAGTTCAATATTTTGGCAGTGTTCATAAAAAGTCATCCTGCGAGCAAAAGTCCTGAACATTTCCACAGTCAAAATCAGTATGAAATTAGCCTGTTCCTTATTGAAAGATATCATCATCGACTAAATTCATTCTTACTATTCATTCTTGGTGCATGTTTCTCTATCTATTATGGTAATGTAATAGCTTACAGCCTTTAGTACATTTTCTGTAATACAGAAAAAATGATAAAGAATAAAAAAAATATAAGTCCAAATAATAAGACTGTGAAATACACCATTCCAAGGTTCTTGTGGCTTAGGCATTTTGTCTAGCTTGAATAAAATGTCATACAGTATCAATTCGAGGGAGCATAAGAAAAACAACAACATTGTTAATATTCAACTGATGCAAGTTTTGTAATTTGTTTCTTATGACGTTTTTCCAAATATTTTAATATCATTAATCAACTGAAGATAATCTAAAATAGTTCCTTTTGTTTTGTATTTCGTCATAAAGAGTTGAATTTCCAGTAGAATGTGAATCTTTGCATAGTGCATTAGTAGTGATGAAAATCGGGGTAAGAATTGATCATCAGCAACCTCTTGACTTGGGGCGACTGACGGGATCGGGTGGTCAGGCTCACTGACCTGGTTGACACATGTCATTGTATCCCAGATGGGTAGATCGATGCCCATGTTGTTGATCACTGGATTGTCTGGTCGTGGCTCGATTAGTTGCAGACCGCCGCCAAATAGCTGGAATATTGCTGAGTTCGGCGTTAAATAACAAGATCGTGAGAAAGTAGTAAGCCTTGCTTGTTGCTTCGGATGTATGTTCTGTTAATTTGTTTTCTTGGATTGGGGTTTATTTTTATAGGTCTACTGATGGACTAAATACAAGGTTTTTATCACAAGAAATGATATCAGATTTATTTCGAATTTCGTCCATTTCATGAAATAGTTCAGCAAGAAGGGAAACCTGATTGTGAATATTGTAAGTGGCTCTGCTGTACATCTGTCACATCTTATCACCATTTACATATACCACTTAGAAACTGACCCTAAAGGGTGTTCTAATGAATGTATCTCTACTTTCAGAACATGCGGAAGTGTACAGTTGCTCTTTTCACCTTGGTAACAGCTTTGTTACTAACCGGTCTGTTCGTGGACATTCACTTCATTCGACACTTTGCTTCTGTTACAAACATAGATTGGACTAGCATCGTCGATTGGACCAACAAGATGTATCTTCAAATACATAGTTCAGATGTTCTTCAGACTGGAACAGATACCAAGAACCGTGCAATAAGTCAGACAGATGCCAAGAACCGTGCAATAAGTCAGACAGATGCCAAGAACCGTGCAATGAGTCAGAAAGATGCCAAGAACCGTGCAATGAGTCAGGCAGATACCAAGAACCGTGCAATGAGTCAGACAGATATCAAGAACCATGCAATAAGTCTGACAGATACCAAGAACCGTGCAATAAGTCAGACAGATGCCAAGAACCGTGAGATAAGTCTGACAGATACAAAGTACAAAGTGACCAAGCCTATTAGCTTGGCCTGCCCTCGCAACAACAGTTCACCTCCACTTGATGATAAAACAAGGAAGAGATATGAGATACACGATTTATTCCGAATCGTAGGTGTTTATATACTTTTCATCTTCAGAATATACTTTTGGAAAAGTCTTTTGCTCTCCTCGTAAACAAAGAAAAAAAGAAAAACAAAGTTTGTAAATGTTCAGATGTCCATATCCATATGAAGTCAGATGAGGTAACCATGGCAACGCATGAGATGAATGGTATTGGTTCAGCCTTATGTATCGAGATAATGTAGAAAGGAATCTAAGTGATATATGCTGGAATGTA